GTAATAGGCTATTAACAGTAAATGTTTTGTAAAAACTACAAATAAAATACCAACAACTTTCAACCTGTCACCATCATGCAAATATGAAATATCAGGTATACAGTAGTAGTTATTTACAGGTTTTTGCATTCCACAGCGTGTCATAGAGTGCAGTGCCATAACCCAGGCAAAACCTGACCTTTCACACAGACACACACACACACACACATACCTTACTTCAAAACAGGTCAGACTGAATATCAAAGCAGAACATTCCCTAGTAGAGGACACAAATTTTCACACAGAATTTTCAAACAGATTTTCTGTCAGGATATATCTATCCACATGCATATTTACTCTGATAAATAAGAGTGTGAATATTGGGTGTCTGAGCTTCATGAGAAATGCAGGAGGTCTGGGAGACAGAGATTCATTAGCGGGACGTTTCTACAATTCACACTCGTCTCGCACCTCCAGCTGTGATTCCTCTTCCAGAAATAAAATACATCACTGACAAGCACAGTCTAATGCTGTCCAGCAGGTGTGAGAAAACCTCCATTTACACTGACTATCAAGAAACAGTGACCTCAAAAAAGCAAAGTGCACTGAGTGAAGGAAAGAAATGGTGAGATGGAGAGGAGGTTATGAAAATGTAAGAAAACAGGAAAAAATTGTTGTCGTTAAAAGTGTACATTTTGAGACATTTGTGACTCCGTACAAACAAAATCACACAAACAATGAAACCGGCTTCCCAAACACTCCACCATCTTCCATTGCCCCCTGTCTTCCTTTGTCAAACAGGTAGTCCAGAAGTCACATATTGCCAGCCATTAAGCGGTTTACTTATGGTAATGTTGTATAGTGTTAAGCTAACAGCATGATACCTTAGAAAAATACACTACATTCACAAATATGTGGTAAACAATCTGTGTTAATCACACTGTAATTTAGTTAAACCTATCTGTAGTGAATAAAATATACATCTATTTATAATCAACATAAGCAGAGCAGTGTTAGACAGAACCACAGTATAGCTGTATATACTATACTCATGGCCGGACTTACCATTGGGCTTGAATGGGCTGCAGCCCAGGGGCCCCGCCTTGTAGAGGGCCCTGCCTTAACCCGTTTACATTTGTTCAGTTATGTGCCAGTCAGAAATTATTAGCCGCATTTCTGCTGCGCACACGGGCCAGCCGGGGCTAACAGCTTCCAACTACGAACTTCGAAGCCATAATCAAACAGCATAAACTGGAATTTATGATTTGTTTCACATAGAAAAAGGACACACTTATTAAATCACGTCTGCGCCGAATCGCTGATTAATTTGTGATCACATGGCTACTTTAAACGGTTCCATTAAGCCTTTAGCCCAAAAGAGCACACATTTAGAAAGATAATGATAAATTCTCACGTTCACGCCACAATTCTTGACAGAGGATGATTCTATGTTATATTAATGTTCCACTAAATTAATCTGAAGAGTTGAGCGCTCTCTCCCATCCAAAGACTATAGAATACCCTAATATCTTACAGGGACTTTGTCCCATCTCACTACCACCAAAAAAAGTGGAGCAAAAATTTCATCAAAACGATTTTCAAAAATAAAAAATAGCCATTTACAGGGTTCGTACGGTCATGAAAAACCCAGAAAGCTTTGGAAAAGTTGTGGAAATGTATTTTACAAATCTCTATATAATAGAATATATGTTTAATCATGTCCTGAATCTCGGTGCAGGATTGCGCATTTTGGTTTTACTCATTCCCACAGGTTTCGCACGTTTGGAAAATTCCTGCAAACATGTATTTAATATACAATGTAGGTTAGATGAGTTAAAGGGGTCATATGATGCTTTTTTAAAGATCATTATTTTGTGTATTTGGTGTAACAGAATATGTTGACATGCTTTAATGTTCAAAAAACACATTATTTTTCAAATACTGTACATTATTGTAGGTCCTCTATGCCCCGCCTCTCTCAAACGGTGTATATATTAATCCATATTAAATATGAACAAGTTATTTAGTCAAGAGCAGATTTGAGCAGATAATTTCTGTACCTGAATGTTTTCCACCAAAACTGTTTCTAAAATGAAATTCTGAGTTTAATTTATAATACTGGCTAAGCAAACTACAATATACTTAATATTCTGGCATTATGTGATTATGTAACTTACGTTTCTTAGCATTACACGGACCAGTAAATGGTTCAAACAGCCTATTAGTACAGTCATTTGCTAAGTTAAATGAATTAGCATTTTAAACAAATTGGTTGATTTAAGGATTCAACTCACTTATTAAGACAGTCACTTGCTGCCACCAACTGGCGGTTGTAGTTTCATATTTTAAAAAGTAGCTCATTATTTCATTTTTACAATCATTTAATATTTCTACATTAAAATGTTGTATTTAAACTTAACATAACATATGCAAAATCCATCTATGGATTTTGTTTATAGTGATTTCATTTGATTGTTAATAGCCAACATGTTTTTTTTATTCAGATTGAATTTATTACATTTAAGAATCTGACATAAAAGGACAAAGATATGACAATACATTTTCATAATAATACATCTCTTTGGTTTTTTCTGCTCCGTGTTATTTCAGGGTTTTGATCTCTCAGCTGAGATATCACATCCTATTTATTGTATTATAGTGACTATTTAATATTACATCTACACTTTGACTAGGCTAGACATGTTGCCTATTAATTGTATACAGTATATGAACCTGAAAGCATATTTAAATTTTTGTGTATTTTGTGTTACTCCATAATAATGTTCTAGTTGAGGGCATTTGTAGTATAGGTATGGGGCCCAAACATAACCTCAATAGTTTTTGATCTCAACTCAATCTCAACTACCTGTTCTAGTAATTCACATTAGTGCACATTTTGCTAATAATTTTGCAATAAACCCATTTTCTTCACTTTGCAAGCACAATGTACAAATAAAATGGCAATAAAATTTTCAAAAATTAAGGGATGCTTTAGAATGAACCAATAAAAGGCAATTTCTTGGCAATTTCTCACACTATGTCCTAGTGGTACACCAGCTGATGTGCACTCTGGAGAACTACAAAATCTGATTCATGTTTCATACTGAATAAACATCTTTAATATATCACATGAGGAATTTCTTTAGTTTTTGTTGTCTAGGAAGCACCATTGTGCAAAAGTGAAATGGAATGGATACCATTTGTAATTTTTTTTTATTACAGTTGCTTTTGATGAATGTCCTTCCATTGTTGCACAGCATTGCCTCCAGGCAACATAAACAGCAAAACAACTTATTCTAAACCAGCATTCTGTGAGTCTTCATCTCATTTCAGTGTACAAATAGATTTGATACTATTTATACACATACATTTGACTATTTAGTGTCAAATATGCACCTGAAATGTGCAGCACCTGTTGTCAATCACTATTTAAACAGATATAATTTTGAAAAAATTATTGGTGAAGATAAACAGAGGGCAGACAAATAATATTCCAAACATTATAAGGTGTCTAAAAACAAACAGCATTACTTACTACATACTTTCAAAAATTGTTGTAGCATTTGTAAATAGTAATACTTATGATCACCTTTATAACCACTAGATGGCAGCCTACTATTCCAAATACAGTCTCTGACAGGAAGTTAATACTTCTGTGATGGTTTTCCATTGATGTTTTTGTTATATTGTCTTTAGAAAGACTATTTTTAAGAGGGGGGGGGGGGATGTCCTGCATCTAGATTTATTAAGTTTTCTAGATTTGTTAGATTTTACAACGATTTCTAAATGGCATACTTAAAAGTTAAAAAGGAGAAAGTTTAAAACATTGAAAAACAATGAAAAAATTGCATCACTTTACAGACGGTGTGACTGCATACTAAATATGCTGTAATAAACAATACAGAGTGTACTCACATCAAACTCATTGAGAGCGGCGGCCAGCTCGCCGATGCCAGCGTGGCCGTGCTTCTCGTCGGTGGGTGAAGTGGCCTGAGCAGAGCTGGAGATGCCCCCAATGGCCTCTTGGACCTGCTTGAAGACATAGTCGCGGTTGGCACGTGTAGCAGCCACGTCGGGGTGGCGCAGGAAGGCCTGGGAAGCAGTATAGAGCATAGTGGCGTTCTTCTGGCCCCCGGCCCCGTAAGTCCTGCCCTAACTATACTACATCATTATATACTAGAATAGAAGAAAGTATTTTAGAACACCGGTCGACAAATTACGCAACTTATCTTAGGCTTAAGTAATCTTATAGTTATAGTTATCTATAGTTAGCAGGTGTTGACAAGTTATAATAATATCATGAATATGGCTTCAGGTTTGGTGTTTTACCTACATTTATTGTTGTCTGTTAAATTTTCTACATAAAAATAAGATAAAATAAAAATAAAAAAGTGTTTCTTACTCATGACAATATTTTAGTAAGCCCTCTGGCTTTAACTCACCATGTAGAAACCTGACCCAAACCAGTGCTTTTTTAGTTAACTAAAATTTCCGTTAATTGAAATGAAGTTGAAATAAATTAAAATAACTTACTTTAAGATTAGATGAAAAACTTGAAAACAAATTAGAAATGTTGCACTGGCAACTAAATAAAATACACTGAACTACTAAAAATACTACAACTTAAAAATAAACAAAACATTATATATATATATATATATATAAGCATTTGTAAATAGTAATACTTATGATCACCTTTATAACCACTAGATGGCAGCCTACTATTCCAAATACAGTCTCTGACAGGAAGTTAATACTTCTGTGATGGTTTTCCATTGATGTTTTTGTTATATTGTCTTTAGAAAGACTATTTTTAAGAGGGGGGGGGGGGATGTCCTGCATCTAGATTTATTAAGTTTTCTAGATTTGTTAGATTTTACAACGATTTCTAAATGGCATACTTAAAAGTTAAAAAGGAGAAAGTTTAAAACATTGAAAAACAATGAAAAAATTGCATCACTTTACAGACGGTGTGACTGCATACTAAATATGCTGTAATAAACAATACAGAGTGTACTCACATCAAACTCATTGAGAGCGGCGGCCAGCTCGCCGATGCCAGCGTGGCCGTGCTTCTCGTCGGTGGGTGAAGTGGCCTGGGCAGAGCTGGAGATGCCCCCAATGGCCTCTTGGACCTGTTTGAAGACATAGTCGCGGTTGGCACGTGTAGCAGCCACGTCGGGGTGGCGCAGGAAGGCCTGGGAGGCAGTATAGAGCATAGTGGCGTTCTTCTTAAGAGCCCCTCGAGCTGCCGCCATCTCGTCCCTGCACTGAGGGTCCTTCAGCTCCTGGCACACACATACACAAATATCTGTTTAAACCTGACACTTTAAGACCTAATGCACAGATCTAATAGACTGATAGACATCCGATTTTCTCCCTAATGTTTATATTCATTTAAAACATAACTGTCTGTGTTTTTTGCGAATAGTCAGCACGCAGGGATTTATATATTTTTTTTTTATTGGAATTGTGAGTGCATTTGACCATTGACTGTTTTATTGTTAGATAATAGCTAGTTAAATTCTAATAGTAGTTAGATAACATAAGCAACACTTCACTCGTTACCACAGCCAGATGTCAGTTGGCTTAAATTTACCTCAAATTAATTGTAGTGATTTGTGTTAATAAAATTATAAAAGTTGCTTAAGCTAAACCAATTATTCAACCCTGAACCCTGACAGCACATTCAGTTAAAAATTATCTACCCTCTCCCTGGATATATAATAAAATATTTTGTTAAGTGCAATTGGTTGCCTTGTATTGTATTGTATGTTGCCATTTATTGTGCATCTTTGCATCATGCATAAGTGAACTATGTAAGATAACAATAGGATAAATAATTATGACCATAGTAGAACGAGAAAAATGCATGAATTAATGCATGAATACTGTATTATTCTAAGTTATGTGAGAAATCCCTCTTCCCTCCAAAATGAAACTAAGAAAAACATGATTAATGCAACAATATGCGTTAATATTTATGGAAAACTGATGCAACTATAGTTGCTGCTGCTATCTGTCCCGCTTAAACCCATTCGGACAGCATTTGTTTGGAACTACTGAGAGATCCTTTAACCACGTGACCGCGTGGAGGCAAGACCTAAGGATATAGATAGATAGATAGATAGATAGATAACAGTTGTGATATTTAATAATACCTGCTGTCTGCGAGCAGCAACATAGTTGAGTTTGACCATCTCTTTCCCAAACTCCTTAAAGCGATTGGCCAAGTCCTGCTCATTAGTGGCATTCTTGACGGCTTCTAGAGCTTCTTCCACCTGTAAATCAGCATCCACACACATACCAACTGTTTCAACATCATCCATAAAATGAAAGATAGTAGAAATGTTCCATAAAGCACTTTAACTGATTTGGTCGAGTGACGGTTAACTTTTGTAGTGCTTATTATTGGTTCTCCTGTGGCACATATAATTCTGACAGTTTTCACTCACCATAATGAGACTAGCGGAAGAACAACGAGGTGCTTTGTCCCTTGAGGGACATCTAAAAGTTTCTCAGCCACATCCTACACACTAAAAGTTCTGTTTTTGCAACCATCAAGTTTCACAGATCTTAGTTCTCAAATTTGTTTAGTGATTATATAACAGAGAGGCTGCTGGGTAAACAAAAAAAGTGGTTTAAACACCCTAAACTACAAAAAAAAAAGTTGTGTTAGAGTGGGAAGAATTCTATTTGTTGTCTTAGTGCCAGTGGGGAACAAAAATCGAAAGAAAACAGAATAGTGCAACTAGAAGCAAAGGATTATGGGTGTGAAAATTAAGGTACAAGAGCAAAAAGCTTAAATTCAGTGCCTCTGAAAATAGCCTTATCTACACCATAAATATAAATGCAAAATATGGTGCCTAACTGATGAACAGAGACAAGAGAAATTATATTTGAGAATGTTATTTATGCATTTTAATAGTCTGTCACAAAGTTATGCTAAGAGGTTGTCGCTTCAGCAATATGTGCCATGCAAATAAACAGCAGGACTCGAGATAAAGACAGTTTCTTTGTACTATAATACATATAACTTCCTGTGCCCTTGAAATGGGTCTCCTTGGATATCGAAACAATTGAGAGGCGGGTCTGGCTCATTCTGACCCGGTGGACGGTGACCAGATGTGAAGACCAGCTGCTGCGATGCAGCTTTGAACACTCAATTGAAACGAAAAAGGAAAAGAAAGATGACGAGATGAAAGACGAATTTTCCATGTGACAGCTCTCACTGGCAACACAAATTTGGTTAATGCCACTTGTTCAACCTTTAAACAAGTGTAAATGTTAAGGAGTAATAATGCTTAAAGTGGTTAGTTGAGAGTAGGGCTGTATGACATGATAAACAAACAAATTTAAATAATAAAATTAAATAAAATAAATGTAAGAAAACTATTATTAATGACAAATAAATTGTGATTCATTTCACAAATAAACTGCAACTGTGGGGGGAAAAAGTGGCAGGTGAGAAATGAATAAGTAGAGAACATACGATCTTAAGGTGAGCCAGGAGCCTCATGACGTCAGCCATGTCAGCCAGGATGAGGAGGCGAGTGACGGCAGAGAGGAGGGCACGGGCGGCACGGACCATGGTGCCGCGTTTCACAGAGGAGCAGGGGTCATCCGCAAAATCTGAGGAGGCCGCGCGCATCGTCTCACCTGCACAGAGACACAAAACAACCAAGGCAAAAGCAAACAACATATGTTTAGAGTTCTACCACACAGCAAATCCCTTGAGCATGTCTAGCATTTTTAAGTTCGGAACCAAATAGAGCTGCATGGACATGTCAATGGTTTATTAATAGCTGTGCATCTGTTAACCAGTGAAATAAACTGCGAGTACAGGCAAGATTGCCAAGGGTGTTCATTAGTGAAACAGCACACTTCAGAAAAACAGTGTACAGAGGGTTGTTGGTGTCTGGAAAACAATGTGCCAGTTTTATGTCACACTGTATTGTCAATGAAATACAGTGCAGTGCATTTTCCTATTCTTACTTTTCAGAACTTTAACTGCAAAAGTAGAGATCAGTATGCAGACATAATAAAGACATAATAAAACTAGAAAAAAGAAAGCCATTTGAAGATTGTCGCCGGAGTGATGATTTTTAATACCCTTCCATTGTGACTGACAGTATTAGATTACCATGCACCTCCTGAACGTTTATTTAGAACTCTATTTGTCAAAAGTAGCATTTTTATGTATGTATGTGTATTACTCAGGAGGAGAAAGCCTAAAAACTGATTCAGACTGCCAGAATGTTACTGTGGCATGCTTGCTAAAGTAGAAATGAGCAATTTGTCTCAAGGTTCATTGACAGAATCTATTAATGACCCTACAGTAAGTGGACTCCCACCTTCCATCTGAACAGGAGCTGCAGGCGGGACAGAGTTGATTAATGAAAGCTTTCAAAAAGCCCGGCTGAGACATTAGCAAATGTCACTGAATCTGAGAATGATATACAGAGATGAAACATTGTGGCCAACTGACGTCCCAGAGTCTAGGGAAAGACAGAACGAGAATATTTACTTTTAAGCCAGTACTGGCTCTGTGTGGGTGAACACTTGCATGCACATAACAAATATGGCTGTACTTTAGTGTACGTACGTGTTCTGCTGTTTCTCTCACACAGTGAACTAAAAAGACAGAATGCCAGCTATTCTTAACAGTGCCTCGCTGCTGCCCCTCCACTTTCCAGGGGAAATGTCAGCACTGTCCTCTGGCTCTGTGCATTCTTTTGGCAGCTCTACCTTCACGGATTACCACGGAAGGTTATAATCTTATTTCCATCCTAGCTCTCTCTCTCTCTTTTTTTTTTTTTTTTACCCCAGTACAATTTAACCAGATTCTCATCCAAGCTGTTTGAAACAATCCTTATTTTTGCAATCATGTTTGGTCATGCTAATGGCGCAGAAATCAAAAGCTTAAAATAAAACCTGTTTTAAACCTGCTTTCAAAGCACCAGACAGTAATATCACATTTGATTACCTAGAATAAATGAAAGTGAGTGTTAGTGATAACCAAGTCAATATTTAATGAGTGAAATGCTTATTTCTCCAGAGAAACTGAATCATAAGTTAAAAAAACATTTATACAGTAAACTAAAATCATTCACCTCACCTTGTCAGAAATAATTTGTTATTCTTTCTACCAACTACTGAACCACACAAACAGAACTGTGTGGTATCAAGGGCAGTGAATTCATCTCTCCTGACTTAAATAAACCAGATGGAGTAGACATTATCTTAGTAGACACAATGTTGACAGCCTGCCTACTTCCAGATGCTGCCTGATAAGAGAGAATTTGAAGGTTTTAGACACACACACACATATATTTTTCCTCTCTAAAGAGAGATTCGGTATAGCAAGAGTCAAGCAGGGACATTAATGCAAATTTTTTTCTGACCTGCAAGAGGATGTGAAAGAGGTCATAAAAACATGATTAATGTTTTTTACTACTTTACTTTACTTTACTTTACTACTACTTTATATGAACAACAATTGGCTTTGTTAAATGATGAGAAACCATAAACTTCATTATGCTACATCCACTGGGATTGACACTACTTAAGCTTGGTTGCAAATTAAGACTGCTGAGAAAATGATCATGCCAAAACATAACAAGACAAAAACACAGACTGATAAAATGTTGAGATGAATGGAAATTATTGAGTTGAATGGGAATGCTAAAGGATTTCTTCAGGTATTATGGACCTTGGTACAGAGCAACTTAAACAGGCTAGTATTAGCTGAACATCCCATTGATCCCTGAGATGACCCTCAGCTCTCATTACTGCAACTTTGTTGGAAAACCACTGCAGTCTTGTTTTCATTCTGCAGTGCATCTTCTGCATTGTGTTTTGGCTCCATACTAGACCTTCTGTAGCACAAAGATAAATACTTAATAGTTAAGTTCATTCTTAAATAAAGTAAACAAACCGGCAGTTGGACAGGACAAAATGCACATACTTTTCTCTGCAAAGTCTTAATATTTAGTTTTGTTTTGAAGACCTAACATGGGAGAGTGAGACACTGCCAACTTATTTTAAATACTGTCAAATTAGCTGAGTTGCTAAAGCGAATTAAAAAAAAATTACTGTGTTTCATAGATCTGTTGTGTCTGCTTGTTTGGTCTTATAATTGACTTCTAGTAGCCTAATTGTCTTTTGTTTGAAAGTTTCACTAAGTTATTTTTCATTGTCATTAAATGAATAAATCAATAACTGTGGGACACAAGTGACAATTACATCAAAAAGACTGATTTCTATTTTAATTATTGTCTTTGTCCTTTAACCCCTGTTTCACACAGAGCAACAGACGGTCAGCCTTGGGAGTGGTAAATCACTCGGACCATTATGCCCAACCTGTGTTCATTAACTTCATCCCAGCTAAAGGTCAGCTTGCTAATGGTCCACGCATAGTATTTTAACACACTTCATTCTGCCCCTGCAGCCGGGGCTTGGCTCAGTCTCCATTTGTCAGTGTTGCAGTCCCTTCACTGCAGATATGAGAACGCTTGTGCATTTTCACCACAAATGGCTTTAAAAAGTGGTCATATGATGTTGCTAAAAATAACATTATTTTGTGTATTTGGTGTAATGAAATGTGTTTATGCGGTTTAAGGTTCAAAAAACACATTATTTTCCACATACTGTACATTATTGTTTCTCCTCTATGGTGAACAGGGATATGACTGCATACCTGTGGAAAAATATATACTACCATAAGTAATGATTTTTTACATTTTAAACAAAAATACAGGGGGGGGAAGTAATACTGTATTACATGACAGTAACTTAACATTATAATTATGTTATTATATTTCATGACTTTTACATGCCTGGAAATCCTTATTTTAAAGTTTCCCAATATTCTGTGAGAACTGTAAAAAAAAAAAAATGTTGTAGGGTTCTCATACACTGATATTCTTCTTTGTTTTCCTCTGAATTAGTTCATATTTAAATTCCCAGAAACAGAAAGAGAATCACCCCAGACTCCCATTAATATCATATTAGCAAGTAATTGAATCCACCACCAAACTAAACAAATTAAATGAAGATTTCACATTCATTACCTCATCAAAGAGTCCTTAAAACAAACCACAAAAAAAGAGAAAATAGATTATTATTAATACGATACAATGACAGCTAATACATTTCAGCTTTTGGGGTTTAAAAGTGGCTTTTTTCTCTTCTCCACAAGCTCATAATTGCTCTTTGGCTGTGTTTATGGGATGATGAATGCTCTGAGAAACACCATCAATAACTGTTTGCCATTTTCATAGAGGTAATTTGGCTGACCAAACACTAACTTCAGTCCAGTCATTAAAGAAAGGAAAGGAGAGAAAACTTGGTAAGAGAGAGTGTGTGTAATGTGCTGCCAGATAAGGGCTGTAAATAATAGGCAGGACTTATAGGTGAAGAAGGAAAAGAAAACTTTAGCTTAGTTGTCTACAAACTGCAGCACATGGGCGAAATGCTAAAGCCCACAGCATACTGGCATGTTAATGTCTCTTAGGGTCAGATAATTTGAAAGATGTCTCACTAGTTCCCACATGACCTCTCTCAAGAAGCCAAACATAACTAACGGACAGAGCTTTAGCCACTATGCCACACCATCCTTGGAGGTGTAATATAAGTACATGTTTGGTTGCTTGGTGGGACGTTGAAACAAATAAGCAGCAGATTTTGTTTGGGACAGTACCTCAGAGTGATAACAGGCTGCTCACCTTGCTTGCGAACATCCTCTACAGCTGCGATCAGCTCCTCCTTCAGGTCCTGGCTGTCCTTAGCAATCTGCTCACCCTTTTCTAGAAAGTTCTGGGTCGCCTGCTCCACAGACACAGCCAGCACATGAGCTTTCTTGGAGCGTCCCTTTTTCTTACTGGATGGGCCTTTGTTACTGGTGTTGACCAGGGTGGTCACCTGTGGACAAGAGGAGTCATAGATGAAGATGGATGCAAAAAGTTACCCAAAAGGCTTGTTTTTAATCACATTTGGACCAAGCTGCTTAAATATAAAGCTAGTCTAGCAACGTAGGTCATTTGGCACAATTAATAAAAATGAGTGATGAACACAAGCACGATCGAGTCAGAGTCTGTTTATTTCTAAACCAATGGGTCAGAAAAACTGCTGGGATTGTTTGCTGCTTTCAGAATTATAAACAGGTAAGGGGTTGCTCACAACAATAAAAGACATCCATCTACAGTATACGCACACAGAACAACAATTAAAAAATGCAGTCAACCGCAAGGACGTGCATGTGTAAGCAGAAACCAAGTGTCCCCTTCAACCTTCCCATTAAAAATCAAACAGGAATTATCATCACCATGAAAACTCAAGTGTCAAATCTAAACATTTTAATGGTATAGGCTATATATATATCCTACTACTTGTCCGCTTGATCCTATTCCATCTCATCTTCTCCAAGCCATTTCTCCTGCAGTTGCATCTGCACTCACTCACATCATTAACACATCCCTTCACACTGGTGTTTTTCCCTCAGCATTTAGACAGGCTCGTATAATCAGAATCAGAATCAGAATCAGAATGAGCTTTATTGCCAGGTACCAAACTCAGTCCTGGAGAGTTGATGTCCTGCAGAGTTTAATTCTAACTTGCCTCAACACACCTGCCTGGACGTTTCAAGTATACCTAGAAAGTCCTTGATTAGCTGGTTTAGGTGTGTTTTGATTAGGGTTAGAGCTAAACTCTGCAGGACACTAGCCCTACAAGACCGAGTTTGGTGACAATGTGAAAAAATATAAAAAAGTAAAATTAATGAATCAATCAATTACTTAATTAATAATACACACACACACAAACGCACACACACACACACACACACACACATATATATATATATATATATATATATATATATAGTGTGTATAACTATAAATCCATTTTGATTAATTTGAGTAAAAATGTGTTTTCTTTACCAAGAATGTGGCAAGATGAAAACCACTATTTTCTGTTTCAAACTTTCACATAGCATCTTTAGGTTATAATAACATTAACAATTCAAATCCAGATTTTGATTTTCAAAGATTTATTATAAAATTGTATTATTTTTTCCCCAAAATGCAATAAATCCATGACACTTTTTTTTTCTTCAAAATGCAATAAATCCATTGAATCAATATAAAAGCAATTTTTCATATTGAAACTATTGAAAATACACAACATAGTAAGTTGATCCACATATGACAGCCTCTGAACTT